GCTGCAGCAGCTGACCAGCACCGATCGTCCGGCACTCCCCAGTGAGATGAACCCAGTACCTCAGTTGAAAATGCAGAAATCACCGGTCTTCTGTGTCGCTTGCGCTGGGAGTTGGAGACTGGAGCTGTTCCTATTCGGCCATCTTGCTCCGCCCCCCATTTTTAATCATTTTTAATTTCCTGAAAGGAATTACTCTGTATGTTGCAAACATCCATTTTTTAATAACGAACTTGCTTATCCTAATAGTTTGTAAAGAAAGGTTCATTTGTAATTTTTCTTCTTAATATATTCATTTACAAAAGCAGTAATAAATTGATATAACATGTCAAAACCCATTAGATATAGCTAAGGCACATCCAGCTCTATCTATAACCAAATCCAGACTCATGGAATACTATGCAGCCATAAAAAATAGTGAGTTTGTGTCCTTTGCAGGGACATGGATGAAGCTGGAAGCCATCATTCTCAGCAAACTAACACAGGAACAGAAAATGAAACACCACATGTCCTCACTCATAAGTGAGAGTTGAACAATGAGAACACATGGACACAGGGAGGGGAACATCACACACTGGGCCCTGTCAGGGGTCTGGGGGCAAGACGAGGGAGAGCATTAGGTCAAATACCTAATGCATGTGGGGCTTAAAACCTAGGTGACGGTTTGATAGGTGCAGCAAACCACCATGGCACATGTATACCTATGTAACAAACCTGCATGTTCTACACATGTATACCAGAACTTAAAGTAAAATAAATAAAAAAAAATACACGAACTTTTGTACTGTTACATTCTAATATGGAGCTTGAATCACAAGTCATTTAAACCCTATCAACCACCACGAACGTCCACCAAAGATGCTGGAAATTTAAAATGTGTTTGGACCGAAGTATCTTCAAATCTCTCTCTTGTGATGAGTGGATATTCAATCTATGATTTGTGGGGCTTGCTCCAGAATCTGCCTTGGTAATAGAGTAGACTATAGTAAACTCTTTACTAAAGAGTTGGGAGGCCGTTAGGGTGAATGGATGTGAACAGAATAATGGGTAAAGGCTAAGTATGCCTTACACATAGAAATTAAGGAAGGTTTGGAGCACATAGGATGTGCCAACTAGGCATTCTGTTCAGTTGCAGGTAACATAGATCTCTTCTAAAATAGGAGTTTATTTCTCCCTCAAATATCATAAAGTCCAGAGGTTAGTGGTAGAACTTGTGTAATAGAAACTTAGTTCCATCAATATCCACCTACATCCTATCTTTCTCTCTCTTCTCTGCCATCTGTAATCGCTGACTTTTATTCTCACGTTTATCTCAACATCACAAGAAGTCATCTGTATACCAGCCATCACTTCAGCATTCCAGACAGGGCAAGAAGGAAGGTGAGAAAGACAAAAGAACAATTGCCACCAGAGTCACCTCCTCATCTAAGTATTCCTTGTAGATGCCATCCGATAACTTCATAGCCTTTATTTCCATCTTATTGGCTGCTGTTGAGTCACATGGTGATGTCTACCTGCAAGAGAAATTGATCCATGCAGTTTTTGTTTGTGTGTGTGTTTAGGTATATTTATTTTTCCACTTTCAAGAAAACTACAGCACTTTTCGAAAGAAAGGTGAATACAGTAGACAGAGAGGTCCAATTTTAAGATGACAAAGGTCCTGACACACCAGCCTGCAGGATCCCATGAATATCACTGACTTATGCACTACCAGCAAATGTTGCCACTCCTAAGTTCTACCTATTCTGTTTCTCAGTATTTATCTATAAATTGACACACTGTTGCGTTTAAATTCATCTATTTAAAAATGAACCTTTTCTTGAACTCTAAGTGAAAAAAATGACATCTTGCCACAAAAATAATAAAGATGAGCAATTTCATAGAGCTCTACCTACATAATCATACCTCCAAAATTCTGAACATGGATTTGTTCTTTTAAATAGGAGTTCAAAAAGTGTAAAAAAATGCTATTACAATAAAAGATGATCCTTCTGTATCACCAGAAGGAAAAAAGAAGATGCTAATGGGAAATTACTCCTCATAATATTATTTAACCTTTTTTTTTTTTTTTTTTTTGAGATGGAGTCTTGCTCTGTCACCAGGCTGGAGTGCAATGGCATGACCTCGGCTCACTGCAACCTCCGCCTCCCAGGTTCAAGCAATTCTCCTGTCTCAGCCTCCCGAGTAGCCGGGATTACAGGTGTGCTCTAATTTTTGTATTTTTAGTAGAGATGAGGTTTCACCATGTTAGCCAGGAAGATCTGGATCTCTTGACCTCGTGATCCATCCACCTCAGCCTACCAAAGTGCTGGGATTACAGGTGTGAACCACTGCACCCGGCCATATTATTTAACATTAAGATTGATAACACCTAAAATTATCTCACATTCCAGTCAAAGCACATGTCCTCTGTACTGACGTTGTCTAACAGTTTCATTTACAGATGAGATAATGAAACCCAAGAAGGGCATACTGTTTTCCTGAGATTTACCACAGACAAGGGGCTAGGACACATGTTACCAACCTCTAAGTTTACGATCGTTCTACTTCATCTCATCCCCTTTTATCAATACCAGTACATTCAGGAATTCTGAAGTCCCTGAAACACAAACCTCACTGCCTCAACACTGTGTGGATTGGAGCACCCGTGTCTGGTATTCTGCAAAGCAATGGGTAGACACCGGTTTATAAAACAGGTGTGCTGCCTGCCCCTGGGGTGCGCAAAACTGAATGTCTGATTTGTTAGCAAAACAGATCAAAACAAAGTGAATTCCAATGCAAAGCAAATGGCTGAGATTATCTTCAAATACAATAAAAACCAATTGAATGCCAAAAACGGTTTTTTGTGGGTTTTGATTCACTGTTTTCATTCACTAAAACGACACTGGCTGGAGATCGAGACCATCCTGGCTAACACAGGCGTGGTGGCACTTGCCTGTAGTCCCAGCTACTCAGGAGGCTGAGGCAGGAGAATCACTTGAACCCAGGAGGCAGAGGTTGCAGTGAGCCGAGATCACACCACTGCATTCTGGCCTGGGGGGAGGGGGGGACCCCTTTTCAAAAAAAAAAAAAAAAAAACCCTTGCACTCAGTTCCTTCATCATCAGAGTGCATTTTTTCTTTTTTCTATACGTGTTAGGATTTAATTTAACATAAAGTGCAAAGAAATGTTCAATTGCTTTATTTCCTCATATAGAAAAAAAAAAGACGCATCTTTAAGTTAAGCTTGATTTTTATTCTGTTATATCATTTAACACATTTCCATGAGTCTATTTAAAGATATGGGCTAGCACATGAAATATTAGCATGTGGCCAGACTCTGAACATTTAGTCCGGACCCCAGGACTTCATTTGCAAGTGTAGATTTCATTAGGTTAATGGGAACAGTGACCACACAACAGCAAGGGAGCCTGTCTCCAGTGGGGAGGACGTCCAGAGGAACTATTACAATCACAGTTTCTTACTTTTTTTTTCCTTCTTGAATTCATAAGTCAAAGTTAAGATTTGCTTAAAATGTCACAGTTGAGACATTTGTTGAGGGTGAAGATAACTCCATTGTCTTAGATAGACAATTCCTGAATGTGTGGAGATGCTCACCAGAGAGGTTCTTTCTGCCCATTGCACAGACAAAACCAGTTCGCTGAGACAATGGTATTGCAGTAAAGAAACAGTTTAATTGAAACTAGGCCAGCCATGCAGGGAACAGAGTTATTACTCAAATCAGTCTTCCCGAAGGCTTAGAGGTTAGGATTTTTCAAAGATGCTTTGGTGAACAGGAGGCTAGAAAATGGGTGCCATTAATTGGTTGGATATGAAATCATAGAAGTGTGGAAAATGATCCTTGTGTGCTGAGTTTATCTCCAGGTGGGGCCACAGGATGGGTTCAGTCATGACTCACGAGTCCAGGTGAGGTCAGTTGATTGCCAGAACGCAAAGGTCTGAAAAACATCTTGAGAGACCAATCTTAGGCTCTATAGTAGTGAAGTTATCCATAGGAGCAATTGGGGGCAGCTCAAATCTTGTGACCTCTGACTACATGACTCTTGATAGTAAGGATGATAGAAACGATGCCTACATTTTAGCAGAATTCAGGCTCCTCCCATGATCCTCATCTGCAGGCCTTTCATCAGTTTTTGGTCCCTGAGCAAGGAGGAATTAGTTTTAGGAAGGCACTATTAATCATCCTTGCTCTCAGTTAAACTATAAATTCCTCCCATGGTTAGCTTGGCCTGTGCTCCGGAATGAGTGAAGATAGCTGGCCTGCGAGGCTTGAGGCAAGATGGAGTCAGCCATACAAGACTTCTCTCACTGCTCTAACTTTTGCAAAGGCAGTTTCAGTGTTTTGTGTGATGTGCCTTCTACTCAACTATCCAGGTTCATTCTTTCACACTACTAGGCTGAGACACAGGTCCACGTCTTAAGTAGCAAAAGATGCTCCCGCCGGACGTTGTGGCTCACACCTGTAATCCCAGCATTCTGGGAGGCTGAGACAGGTGGATCACAAGGTCAGGAGATTGAGACCATCCCGGCTAACACAGTGAAATCCCGTCTCTAATAAAAATACAAAAAAAAATTAGCCGGGCTTGTTGGCGGGTGCCTGTAGTCCCAGCTACTCAGCAGGCTTAGGCAGGAGAATGACGTGAACCCAGGAGGCCAGACTTGCAGTGAGCCGAGATTGCACCACTGCACTCCAGCCTGGGCGACAGAGCAAGACTCCGTCTTAAAAAAAAAAAAAAAAAAAAAAAGAAAGATGCTCCCTCTGACCTTGAATTAGGAGGACAGTAAACATATTCAGGACCAACAACTGTCACCCCATCAGGCAGAACTCACCACTCACCTGAAACAATTCAATGCAGCTCAAATTCGAAATCAAATCTAGGTTCTTAATGTGGTACTTGGAGCCTGTGCCTGCCCCCGGAGGCTTATTTCTTACCTGCTTTCCCCCTTACATGCTGGCCTGCAAAGAACTGAGGAAAAAACATCAGTTGTTTGCTGACATTTAAAAATAAAAGGATCTAAGGCCAGGTGTGATGGCCCAAGCCTGTAACCCAGCACTTTAGAAGGCTGAGTGAGGTAAGTAGATTGTGGAGCTCAGGAGTTCAAAACCACCCTGGGCAACATAGTGACATCCCCTCTCTACCAAAAATACAAAAAATTAGCCTGTTGTGGTGGGGAGTGCCTGTGGTCTCAGCCACTCAGGAGGTTGAGGTGGGAGCATCACTTGAGCCTGGGAGGCAGAGACTGCAGTGAGCTGAGATCCTGCCACTGCACTCCAGCCTGGTTGATGGAGTGAGACTCTGTCTCAAAATAAATAAATAAATAAATAATAAAATATAAAAAGTAAAAATTAAGAATTAAAAAATAAAATTAAAAATAAAAGGATCTGACAACAAATGACAGACTTCTGGCACTTTTTGGCAAATCTAAGGGATCTACTAACACATTTCTTCAGAGTAACGACCATGGAGCTTTTAGATGGGTGCCTTCATTTCCTGAGGCAGACGCAACAAACTTAACAGCCTGAAACAATACAGGTTGATTCTCTCACAGTACAGGAAGCCGGAAGTTTGGCCGGCAGAGTCACACTCTCTCTGAAGGCTCTAGGGGAGGATCCTCCCTTGCCTGTGCTGCCTCCAGGTCTTCCTGCCTCGACTGGTGGCAGCTGCACTCTCGTCTCCACCTCTGTCTTCACAGGCCTCCTTCCCTGTGTCTCAAATCTTCCCCTGCTTTATTTTATAAGGACACCAATATTTAGATTTAGGGCCCACCCTAAATCAAGGATGGTATGATCTCAAGATCTTTAGCTCAATTACACCTGCAAAAATCCTAGTTCCAAAATAAGGCTCATAGGTGCCAGAAGTTGGGTGTCAGAAGTAATTTTGGGGAGACGCTATTCACTCCCCTAGTGGGGTCTCCACCTTCCAGCATCTTCCCCATTCCATCTTGTATATGGCCAAATTCTCCTTGCCTATCTCATTCACCTATGCATTAGAGTTTCTAAACCTGATTCCAGCGTATCTTCCAGCCCACGATTTTGAACGGAACCGTCAAAACTGAATTGCACTGGGCAGAGTTACGGAAGGCTTCGTTCAAAGCTACTGCAATACGGTAAAGAGACCAGAACTCAACTCAGTTTGAGCACAGCTTCTCTGAAGTGCGTGCGTGTGTGTGTGTGTGTGTGTGTGTGTGTGTGTGTGTGTGTGTGTGAAGACCCGGGGTCAGGGAATTGTAGGCCATCCTTCTTGGTGAATCGGCTTTCCCCAGAGAAAAAGTGAACTTTCTTGTATCTTTACGACAAGAGGGAATTTTAACACTTGGAGCAAGATTCCCGCTGAAGTTAGGCTCCTTCCCTCCCACAGAGACAGGGAGAGAGGGCAGCCCATGTTCCTGGATGACTACATTTCAAAGGAATGGCTCCCAGGTCCTTGAGAAAGACGGGCCAGGTTTTTAACTCTGGCAGGAGGATTTGGAACAGATTTGCATCTCCAAGGGGCAAAGAAAGAGCCCCAGTGGCAAGTCTTCTAAAGTAAATGCTCTAAGAATAGGGAAACCAGGGACCCGGAGGCAGCAAGAAGAGTTAAACCAAGAGGGACATTAGGGCTGTCTTGGTCTGTACCCATGCCTCTTACCTGAGTCCTTACATTTATTCAAGCAATTGATTTTCACTTCCCAGTGGCAAGCTCAAGGACTATTCTGAGTCTGTTTCTTCACCTGTCAAAGAGGAAAATAAAGTCACTGCTTCGTACGGTTGATATGAAGAGCAAATGAGATGAAGTATTTAAAACACCATGGTGACAGGGGCATGTGGACCCGAGACCACCTGATCCCACACGTGCAGCTCAGCTTTAGGTCACAAATGACCAGAAGACAGCTCTCAAATCTCGTCTGCTTTGTTGCCAGTGAAGAAAATCTTTCCCACCAAGGTCATGCCCTTTTAGGGGTGGCTCACAGTCAATAATAGTAATAATTGTGAAACTGCCTTTGCAAAATTATGACTGAGACAGTGAAAGAGATCTAACTTAACTGACTCCATCTTGCTTCTAACCTCCAAGCTGTCCTTGTTCATTCCTAGACTTAGGCTGAACTAACTTTGGGAGAAACTTGGTTTATAGTTTAAACAAGGATATAGTTTTATATAGTTTAAACAACGACATAGTTTTATATAGTTTAAACAAAGTTAATAGTTTAAACAAAGATGGAAACAGCCCTTTCCCAAAGCAGACCTCCTTCTTGCCTGGGGACTACATTGCCTTTGTAGGACTAACATTAGCCACAAGATTAGAAATTATGGTTTAGGAGTCATGCAACTGGAGGCTACAAGATTTGGACCCTCCCTAAGCTGCCCCTAATGTCAGTGCTTGAGACATTTTGCAGACCCTGCACCTGATGGATCAGCCGGCACCACCCAGATTGATAAACTGACTCATCTGATCTTGTGACCCCCACCGAGGAACTGACTCAGTGCAAGAAGACAGCTCCGACTCCCTGTGATTTCATCCCTGACCAGTCAGCACTCCTGGCTCACTGGCTTCCTCCAAACCACCAAGTTGTCCTTAAAAACTCTGCTCCCTAAATGCTCAGGGATACTCATTTGCGTAATAATAAAACTCAGGTCTTCCGTACAGCTGGACCTGTGTGAATTACTCTTTCTCTATTGCAATTCCCCTGTCTTGATGAATCCACTGTGTTTAGGCAGTGGGCAAGGTGGACCTCTTGGGTGGTTACCATTGCTGAGGAGTAAATGCCTGACCCGATGCAGCACAGCTCTGACAGGCCATGTGGGCTCCTGAGCACAAACAGAATGGGCTGAGGCCTCCGGGACCACCTCCCAGCACAACATCCTGCTCTGCCAGCTTTCTCCCCCTTCTCCCATAGATGTTTATATCGAGGACACTCCCAAATAAATGTCTTGCATGCTAAACTCAATTTCAGAATCTCCTTCCCGCAAAAAAACCAAACTGCAATGTGCACTCAGCACAGAACTTGGAAAGAGACACCTCTCAGTCACCCATGGTGACTTCCTCCACTGCCAGGGCTGCCGCTGCTGTCACTATTGACCTCAGCAGCCTTTCCCATGTCAGGCCCTGGGTGAAGCCATCCCCCCAGGATTGATAAGAATTGCATGCAAGGTTTTGGACAGAAATAGAGTTACAGGTAAGGATGCCTCAGGCTGTACTCTGGCCCCTTCCTTGTTGCTAGAAGCCCAGTAGCACCAGTTCCTCACCTGGTGCTTTCCTGTTGCTCCTACAGACAGGATTTTGGACACAGGGTCATGAGACCGTTGAAGGATTGACTTGCATTCCCATTGCTCCTGTCGACAGTACCTCTGACAATCAGCTCATGGGGCTTTTGTTTATGGATTGCTTAGGATGTTTTTCAGACCCCAAATTCTAGCAACTAGTGTGTAGACCCCCAACAGAGGAATGAGATCAGCATGAGAATACAGCTTCTTCCTCTCCCAGGCCCATGGCTTTGCCCTGCATTCTTCAACCAATCAACAATTTCTACCCTTCAGCCCACTCCAAATCTCTTCAAACCCTAGCCCCAAATTCCTGGCGGAGACGGATTTGAGGTTTCCTCCCATGTCCTCCTTTGGTGGCCTTATGATTAAAGCCCTTTCTCTGCTGCAACCCCGTGCCTCCAGGGGTTGACTTGCTGCATGTGTTGGGTAGGGACCTATTACGGTTACACGGGGAGGCAGTGCCCCCCTACCATCCTCTTTGCATTCTGCCACTGAACAGATGCTTCCTACATGGCTGGTAATGTGGGCCCTCCTGTTTCAAGGTCCCCAGTTCAGAAGTCTCATTTGCCCAAACGCGCTGTCATGGGGCCACGTTCTTCCCTTTGCTCTTGGAGAATAGACAAAGCCATTCAGCCCAGCTACAGCCTCAAAGTCTTGTCCTACCTCCCTCTCCAGCCTCAACTCATTCCAGGCTTCCTACATGGCTGGTAATGTGGGCCCTCCTGTTTGAAGGTCCCCAGTTCAGAAGTCTCATTTGCCCAAAACGCACTGTCATGGGGCCACGTTCTTCCCTTTGCTCTTGGAGAATAGACAAAGCCATTCAGCCCAGCTACAGCCTCAAAGTCTTGTCCTACCTCCCTCTCCAGCCTCAACTCATTCCAGGCTCCAGTTCCGTATCTCTCTCTAGCAACACTGATTTTCCTTTAGTTTCCTGCATTTGCCGCTGTTTCTCCTGCCAACAATGTACTGGGGTGAAGCCATAGCTTCTTTATTTACTTCATTTTTTTTAATGTTTCTCATTTGCTTCAATTCAAACATCTTGTCTCAGATGGAATGCAGAAGCAGAGATGAGAATCCTGCTGTCTTCTATTAAAGAAAACATTATGCATAATTGCAAAAATATAGTATGATGCTGGTATCCTCAGAGTAATTTTTTTTGAAAAATGTAATCTTCATAAAAATATTTTATGTATATTCACTTTTAATAGGTTTGTTTTTGTTAGTTTTAAATGAAATAACAAATACTTTGAATATCTCAATGTTTAATATTGTATTAATAATGTTATATATTAGTATAATAATCATATAATATTGTTATAATAATGTATTAAATATAGATGCACCTGAGGTATAGAAACAAAACACCTTTGGGGTCCTCAATAATTTCTAGAGTGTAAGTCACCAGTGAGAATACCTGAAATGGACAAAACTGCTCAGATGTGGGTGTAGCTCTTTCCATCTCTAGCCTCATTCACCCCTGCCTCCTGCCCCAGTGAATGTCATTCTCCAACAAAGTATTTGAAAAGATATTTCTCTCTTTAAAAAGTACACAGATGGACAATTAGCAAAGGAAGAGATGCTCAACATCGTTAGCCATTAGGGAAATGCAAATCAAAACCACAGTAAGGTTATACTTCACAACCACTAGGGTGGCTACAATTAAAAGACAAGTAATAACTAATGTTGACGAGGATGTGGAGAAATGGAAAGCTTCATAATTCCTGGTGAGAATCTAAAATAGTGCAACCACTTTGGAAAAGAGTTGGATGTTCTTCAAAAAGCTAAACATAGTTACTAAATGACCCAGCAATTCCACACCTAGGTATACACTTAAGAAAGATGAAAATGTGTGCACACAAAAGCTTGTACAAGAATTTTCAGAGCAATATAGTCATAACAATCATGGAATGAAAACCACCCAAATGTCTCTCCACTTGAATGCATAAACAAACTATGGTCTATCTAAACAACAGCATAACATTCATCCATTAAAAAAAATGAATTACTGATGCATCCTACAGCAAGGATGAACCTTAACAACATCATGGTAAATGAGAGGATCCTGTCCCAAGAGATCATCATATGTTATGTGATTCTATTTGTATGAAATGTCAAGAACAGGCAAAACTATAGAGACAAAATGTAAATTAGTCGTTACTTAGCACCTGGAGGGTGGAGATGGAGGGTCATGGGAGTGGCTGGCAATGGGCACGGTGCTTCTTTTTGCGGGGTGAAAATGTTCTAAAATCAGATTTTGCTGGTAGCTGTGAACCTAATAAAACCATTTAATTGTACCCTTTAAATGCACGGTTGTGTGGTTTATGAATTATGTCCCAATTAATTTGTGAAGTTGCATTTTCAAACATTAGTAACAGTGAGTTATGTTTAAAATTGATATTTTGGGAAATTCAGATAATGTCCTGGTTAAACTTGAAGTTCTTTACCTCTACATAGCTACCCAATAATACGCTACTAATGAAAACTTAAATCCCATTTACAATTTATTCCTCCAGAGGAGAGCAACTTTATTAAACAACTTCCTTTTGGAGGGTGTGGGGGGAAATAAAAGCATGAAGCAATTCTCTGTCTTCTTCATCTTAGTGTTTTCAATACCTAAATGTCTAAGACAAGTTCCAAGACAAAACATATAAAACCTACTGTAGATATCATAGTGTGGATGTCTTGTCAAGTGATCATGTTTAAATGAAATTAATTCCTCTTTCCTTCTCACAGTCTTTGAGTGTGCCCAGGGTGTACCATCATGGGACCATGTTCTTCCCCTTTGCTCTTGGAGAATAGACAAAGCTACTCAGCCCAGTCACAGCCTCATAATCTCGTTCTACCTCCCTCTCTAGCCTCAACTATTTCCAGGCTCCAGCTCAATGTCATACATCAGGTAGGTGGCGTTCTCTAATAGCTGTCTATTTTCTCAGTCTCTTTTACTTCTCAAGCTTAAAATTGCCCGTTCTTTGTTCGGGCAGTGGTAAGGCTAACTGAAGGTGACTGACAGACTTATTCTCCTTTTCTCAGGTCATCTTTAAAGATAAGAGTGATTGTTTGACCTAAGTTAAACTACAAGTCTATGTATAAATCACTGTGAGGCATTTCTTGCCAAACTTTTATGGATAATAGGAGAGATATGGCTGGCATCATCTCTTCTAGATATTTTTGTGTTGATTAGGATGTGATGGCATGAGATACAGCGGTCACTTTTCAATGATAAGGAAAAAGCCAAAGGATTCCAAAACATTCTCTTGATTCCTCTAAACTCCTGTACTAACTCCAGTAACCTCTAGAAATTCTGTCACGTGAGGAAAAGCAATCTCTAATGTTTAAGCCATTATGATTCATTTCACGGTTATTTGCCAAAAAACTCAATTCTGCTTGATAGAAAATATCATAATGGTCTTCCTATTTCCTATTTTTCCATGGATTGTACCTTGTGTGTACATCTGCCTCTTCTACTATA